CACTCATTCACATTGTCATTCATGCACGTGATCACTCATTCTTGTGCCCAGTCATTCACCTACTTACTTATTCACTTGCTCACTCAAAGACTGAGCCACGGGTTTCGAACGTTGACCCGCGGCTGCTGTAAAATTCCTGCTCTTTTCACTGAAGACATGTCCCACTTGTCTCTGTCCCGCAGTGCCGGTACTGGACCAGGGCCAATGACCTCAACTGTGAGAGCGAGAGGTTCACGCTGTACAAGGAGTGGGCCCGCTTCCTGCGCTTCTACAAGGAGCAGCCACTCAATCTCATCCGGTGAGGGCGGGAGTCGGGGTCTGGCCTGGGGCAGGAGTCAGGGTCTGGCCAGGCTGAGGATACTGTATTCCTGGGGCGGGAGTCAGGGTCTGGCCTGGGGCGGGAGTCGGGGTCTGGCCTGGGGCGGGAGTCGGGTTCTGGCCTGGGGCGGGAGTCGGGGTCTGGCCTGGCTGAGGACACTGTCTGTATGCCTGGGGCAGGAGTCAGGGTCTGGCCTGGGGCGGGAGTCAGGGTCTGGCCTGGGGCGGGAGTCAGGGTCTGGCCTGGGGCAGGAGTCAGGGTCTGGCCTGGGGCGGGAGTCAGGGTCTGGCCTGGCTGAGGACACTGTATTCCTAGGGCAGGAGTCAGGTTCTGGCCTTGGGCAAGAGTCAGGGTCTGGCCAGGCTGAGGACACTCTCTGTATTCCTGGGGCAGGAGTCAGAATCTGGCCTGGCTGAGGACACTGTATTCCTGGAGCAGAAGTTAGAGTCTGGCCAGTCTGTGGACACTGTTTTCCTGGGGCAGAAGTAATGGTCTGGCCTGGCTGAGGACACTGTCTGTATTGCTGGGGCAGGAGTCAGGATCTGGCCAGGCTGAGGATACTGTATTCCTGGGGCAGGAGTCAGGGTCTGGCCTGGGGCAGGAGTCAGGGTCTGGCCTGGGGCAGGAGTCAGGGTCTGGCCTGGCTGAGGACACTGTCTGTATTCCTGGGGCAGGAGTCAGGGTCTGGCATGGCTGAGGACACTGTATTC